GCCCTGGTATGCAGGGCAGCTGAGCAGCCAATATTGAGGGGGGGAAGGGAGGGCAAGAAATCCCACAGTTCTTATCTGCGTGGGTGCACCTGGTCCGGCGCCCGTGCCAGGTTAGATTATTATATATTGTCAGCGTCCTGATGAGTCAGTGAAACTCCGGCGAAACAGTTTGTCATAGCCCCTCGTCTGTTGTCCTCTTCTCCCTTCTCCCTCTCTGCCTACAGTTTACCCTAGGCAGCTCTGTTTGACTATATAGTGTCAGCGTCCTGATGAGTCGGTGAAACTGCAATGCAACAGTTTGTCACAGCTCCTCTTCTCCCTCTCTGCCTACGGTTTACTGGGCAGTTCTGTTTGACGCTAGGCTACTAGCCAGGCCGCCCGGGTCATCCTATTTTCCCGGGTGGTCTGGCCGTGCAAGGACCAGGGAAGGTCCCAGCAAAAAAAAAAAAAAAAAAAAAAAAAAAAACCAATTATGTTATGCAGAAAAATAAACTGAACAACGTTTGCCTCGGGGTCGCATCGAAATTCTTTACCAGATTTAAAATAAAAAACAACATTGAAAAATGATTTATTTTTGTTTTGTTGTTCACCCGGCTGGGCAAGTGGTCCCGGGCCTCTCTGGTAGCCTAGGTTTGACTATATAACGATATATTGTACTACTATATTATGTTTTTTTTTTTTTTTTGGTTTTATATGTTAGATACACTGAATGTACATGATCTCTCTCTCTCTCTTTTTTTTTGGTCATACGTGGGATGGTGTTATTACCATTTTTTCCCCCCATTTTTTATTTTAATTATTTTAAATGTTAGTATACTAGGCTACCAGCCCGGGTCCCGGGTGGCCAGCCCGTGCAAGGACCAGGGAAGGTCCAAGCAAAAAAAAAAAAAGAAAAAAAAATCCGAAAAATCCGAAAAAAAACTATGTTATGTAGAAAAATAAACTGAACAACTTTTGCCTCAGGGTCACATTGAAATTCTGCACCAAATTTATAATACAAAATAAAATTTAAAACTTCTTTTTTTTTTTTTTTTTTGGCCCGGCCGGGCAAGTGACCCCGGGCCACTCTGGTAGCCTAGTTAGTATATATATCACCGGGCAGTTCAGTTTGTGACGATATATCATATATGACAGACCTTTCTTTGTTTCGTGGATGTTTTGCTGGCTTGTGATGGGGTGTGAACCGACAGTCTGTAGAGTTTTCCATCTGGTGTGGGTGAGTGATAGTCTACCTTGATTTTGGTCAAGGTAGATT